AATCCCAGAGAGAAAGAAGATTTTATCCCCTGATAGTTTGTTCAAGCAATATAAGACAGAGGTGTGAATAGCTATACACATACTATGTGGTCTGTTACAAATCCGGAAAACTTAATAGTCACATACCCTTTTTTTCTCTGAATTTCTACATTTTACAACCTGCACTCTCTAAAGGCCTTGGTTTAATTTGAAAAAAAAAAAGTCTTCAAAAACAACCAGATATTACACACATTGAGTATACAGTAAAGCAATTATTCTTCAAAACAATAGTATTAAGAATAAGATGGACTTACATAAATAAAAAAAAGTTTAAGTTTTATTTGTATATTCGTAAAAATGTCACCTATAGGACTACACTCATGTTTCGATAGTGTACACTGGAGAAAATGAAGAACTGTATACCAGAGCACGGTTACTAAAAAACCATGATCAGAGTAACTTTGTGTAATATTCTGACACAAACTTAGTGAATCAGTGATGAAGCTTACTGTAAATGCAATATTTCGTTAAAAAGGAATGACAAGTCCTGTCGTTGTCATGTGATGACGAATTATGCTAAGGTTTGTTTCAAATTATATTCGAGGTAGGAGCTAGATGATAAAATAAATATGACCCAGAATCTGAGAACATCAATATTTGCTCCTGATGTGCCACTTATTCACGAAGTGCATTTCATTGTTGACCTTTACGATTACCACCAAACTCACTTTTTTCTTATATTCTTCTATATTTCTGAAAATGAACCCTAATTTTGGAGGCACCAGTTAAAATTTTCAGGTTTTATTCAAAAAATTTGGCTTTTTTCTGAAAGAAATTGCAGACTATAAACAGGGTGAATTTGTGATGGAAAGAGGGAACTGGTAATGAAATGGTGAAGGGTAGTTTTTCCAGTCACCCTGAATGCACCAGATTTGCTATTTTCAAAAGGCTTTCAGTATACACTCAAAACTGAACAAATGGCACAACGTTCGTGTACAGTTTCTTCTATGCATCTCATTTAGGGATTTATTAATGCATTCTTTTAATATATAACATTGCCCCAGCTGTAAAACTGCTTCCGAAAATTAAATTACTGTTTATTTTCAAATGGTTGGTAAAGTACAAGTAATCGTAGTGTACTGTAGGATTAAACTCTCACTATATTGGTGGGTGTGTTAACATCCAGGTCATAATTACTGGTTGTTTTGTTTTCTGGTCCTACAGACATTTTTACCTGTTCTGTATATAACATTGCAAACAGCTGCTATTTCAGTTGTGAGTGAATAACCATATGGGAAGCTTAGTTGCATCATGTGATATGTCACTGGAAATATACTGTCGGTTTTAAAATAACTGGTTCATAATGGAAACAATACATTCTGATTTGAATATTCACTGGATCTCAATTGAGTGCATTTATCTACTCGCGAAATAAGCGAAAAATAAAAGCAAGCAAAGAATTATAGGAACACGAATACACGGTCATTCTGTCAATCAAGGTGAAACCCAAATTTCATGCTGTTCAATGTCAACCAATTGAAAGTTGATACAGCTCTACAACATGGACCATACCCAGGCCTAGGTTGATACGATAGTTCAATAGTAAACACAGATACATATATATTGACTGGCCAGTAGGGCAATATCACATGTCTAATTCCTGAGATCATAGGCTAGGTAACACATCACATCTAGATTCTGATTTTCATTTTGAATCAATCATGACAATTACTACACACTATGTAGAATGAAACCCATATATTTTAGACACTTAATTAACAATGAACATTCAACAACAGTGGTCAACACAATTCAATTCATAATTACAATTAAAATTATTATTGTATTTCGTATTTCAACATGTGTAAAAAAACATGCAATGTTCAGTTCGACCTACAAAAGTGACAACTTTGGTGCAGTAGTTTTTACAAGGTAGTTAAAGTCAAGGATTAAAAAA